CCTCACTTCAAATCAAAGGCTTGGCAACTAAGTACACAACTGTAAAATGGTCTATTGTGCGTTTTGTAGGAAACCGATCTGAGGTAAGTCAGTTCAACAGATTATGTTATTTTAAAGTTTTAGATATTCATAGCATTTACTGAAAAAAACCTACGTATCTATTGTATCATTTTGAAAACTCTTTTCAGCACTCAGCAGAGATGTAACGTCAGCAAACAAAGTGCAATTTCAGTTTCAAGGAAACTTTTAAGTTGTACTTCAGTAAATCACCTCTGACCTGTGTGCGTCGTCGCCTCAGAATCATAGCCCCAGAGATTTTCGTTTCAATAATATTTTTCTACTTAATCCTTTCAATAGTGTCATATCGTGTATTTTTTGTTTGTGTAGAGCTAAAGGCATTCACACAAGAGCAGGCAATTGCCTTCCTCAAACTATTTCTGAATTTGTAGACTTTACCAATAAAGGGAGCTAAACCGTCCCATCAAGGGATGGCTTGGGCGTTGCCTCTAAAGTGACCCAATAAATTAACAAAATACCTGTGAATAGTCTCTATCAAGAATTTATCTGTCGACGTAAAAAAATACCAATTTATGGCATTTTTTTCAGTTACAAGTATCAATTTGTCCTGTTCAACGAATTAGAATTACTAGCAGACACATAATAAGAAATTCTACCTTTGACGAAGAGCTTTTAGGTATAATTAGTTACAATAAAAGCGGCGATAAATAGCAAAAAGGCCAGTCCAATATTAGCCTGCGCTAAAGAGTTGACGCCATTGACTCGGCCTACGTTTACACTTGGATCAACCAAGACACTTTTCTTGAACTTAGGGATGCGGAAAACAAACTTCTTTTCTCCGTCCTCGACCTCGTAATTAGGATATCCCTCAGGGAAGGCAGTGTATTTATCATCATCGGTAACCACCTTCAAAAAAAGAAAGAGAACGCACATTATTTTTAAATATTCTGTCATAAAAACAACCAAATGGACGACAGCAAATGTAAGTGCAAACAGAGGAAATGCTGAAAAGAATAATCGCCAATTTAGAGGCAAAAATATCTATTTGTCTCTTTGAGAACTCGCCATGATTGCCTCGGCCACTTTTAGAGTGAAGTTACGATTGGTAACACTGTTTTATGAAATTGTTTCTTAAACATTCAGCTATGTGACGATACATTTCACGAGCACGAAATGGGATGAAGACATGTGGACATTGGACAGACATGAACAAGCAGATGAGCAACAAAAAAAGAAGTGGGATGGAAGCGATAAGTGAAGTATTCATTGAATCCCAGCTACCCTTTGTAATGCAATAGATTTCCATCGACTCTACAAAGTGAAAAAAACTCACTGCTTAATGCTAGGTTGGACACGACGCAATGATGTACGAACTTACTCCTTTATTTAGCAGCATTTCCGAGTCTCCGCCGATGTCATAAATGCTCGGACAATCATCGTCGTCGTCATCGCTATCGTTCGGATCATCGACACCATCGTCATCGTCATCGTCATCACAGATGGGTCTCTTTGCGGCGGCTTTCCTGTCATCGTCACTTATTTCTGCTGGAAAATCCTTGCTCTTGATTTTAAGTTTGAGATCAAGAAATTCTCCAACTTTGCCTTCATCGCAGTCAAAAGATGACCCGTCACAGAAATCCCAGTTACTGATCTGCGAAGGAAATGATGGTAAACTGAGTCAGATTAGGATCGTATCCAGATTAAGCGATATTTTTTAGAATCATTAACGTTATGATTACCAAAATTAAGGGCGAGTCACTCTTAGTGCAGGCAAATGGAAAAGAAAACTACAGTTGTTCCCTTCAAAGCAGCGAAGGGTGAAGAGACCAAAACACTTGACCTTTGAAAGGAATGGTTAAAAAACCGTACCACTTTTTTGACGTTACCCTCTAACCCCTCCCCCCTCCCCACTTACCCCTGTCTTTGGCTTACCTTAATATTAAACTTTACTGTTCCTTTTTCCACTCTAAAGGTTTCATTCCCAAACGTAACCTTCCCCGCCTGACGAAACAGATAAACCATTATCTCCAGAGAAGAAGAACCACGTAGGGTCGCTGATAGGTTTACGTTTGTAACAGGAAGTCCATCATATTTCGCCTGGGTGTCTACTTTTGTGAACGTAAAGTCCACGTCGTCAAAGGAGTCCACAGAATGCCTCTGCAACTTATCAACATCATTTCCATTGACATCTTTTTCCTCCACCTCGTCCACTTCAAATGATAGCATCTCTTCGTTATCGTCTCTAAAATCGTCATCATCGTCATCATCATCGTCATCATCATCGTCATCATCATCGTCATCATCATCATCATCATCATCGTCGTCGTCGTCATCATCGTTATCTCGAACAATCATGATTTTTCCAGACTTGGAGAGCATTTTAGCTGATACGTCATCGTCTGTTATAGTTTTTTCATCGTCGCTCTTATTAAGCTCGTCAGCTAAACATAACACTAGAATTAACGCTGTCAGGAGAAACAAAACATTGCATGTCGTGAACAGTGCAACTAACAAACACTATATGTTCAGTTATGAGATCCGAGTTCATTGATACAGCATTAATTACGTGTGGAGAGTACAAAAAACTGAAATAATCTTTCTGAGATTATCATATTATTATCACTTACTCAGAAAGTTCGAGAAGTTTACAATATGTTTTATCGTGCTTAGCTCACTTCCGAACCTCAATTTTTTTCCTCTCATTTAGGGATGAGGTAGGGATATCAATTTCAGACAGGCAGACAGACTGTCTGATGTTGTTACTCAGGGTATTTACCGAATGGGAGGAGTTTAATTTGCTTCACTATTTACTTAGATTCTTAGCATTGATTTGCACATTACTCACGGGTTAATTACCTGACATGCGTCAGAGGTTCAATAGAGTGTTTTGCGAAAAAAATCATGATAATTATCTGCAACTCAAACTCGTGCCTCAGTACGTGCCCAGGTATAAGCACGTGCATTGTGGTTAACTCGATATTGCTCAACGAAGCCCAGTATAACCAAACGGAAGTTACAGCCGAGGGACAATCTGTAGAACTATTTGCGCTCATATGCACCTTTGAGTATTGATCGCGCGGAACGTTTCAGGAAAAAGGCGGCTAAAACGTCGTTAATTATACTGGCCTGAATAAATTAGACTAAATTTTTTATGGTTTATCGTTAACAATTTCAGTTCCGAGTCCTGTTTTCATTTCGGAAGAAAAGCCAAGCCTTCACATATCAGTGAAGGCTTCAACAGTCATTTACACAGGTATTAAAATTTCTTGAACTAGTTTAATGTTGTTTAATTTTTTCTTCTCAAAAGTGATGAGAGACATGCTGCCAATAAGTAGACGTGCATGCTTTGTTCTCACCTCACTCGAAACAAAAATTTGATATTTCGGTGATCTTATTCAAACCAGCCTAAATGATCTCGAAACTACATGAAACTATGACAGTGCATTATTGCTGTGTTAAGCTACAATTTCGAAATAAAAATATCTAGACGAAATCGTGCTTTCAGTATAAGTTATAACATTTGCGACGCATTTTTTTTCTAACAAGCGAGGTATTACGACATAAAATAGGTACTTTACAGCGAAAAACGAAAAACCAATCGGAGGGAAATGGGGTTACAACAAAGCCACAAGGCTTGCGCGAGAAAATTGTTGCCGACGACGCACAGCATCTCGACTGTTTTGACGAAGAGCGTGGTCATGGGTTGCAACTAACTCTCATGTCTGAGCGACCTCAGCTACCTATTGTCAGAAATCCTTTTGGAATCTTTATAGCTCTTTGCCATCGATAGTTATTGTGGACTTGCTTCAAATCGGTATCTATTTCGTCAGTGCTATTTTGGTTTTCTTTTCTCTTCGCAAATTCTTGGAATAAACATCCTTCACGAACATTAATCAATGAAAAGTGATTCAAACACAAAAAAGTTCCGTTTCCTTCACTTATCAGACCTTCACTTTCTTATCGGTAAATAAGTTGGTTGCAATAACGCCATCCCACATGCGACTAAGAAAATAGAATATACTTAATGCGTGGGTTTCGTCGCAATTGTTTCAGTTCTTAAACGAAAAAGACAAATATCTAATTATTCGTTAATAATCAAACTGCTAATTACTAATTTGGCGATTGAAACGATACCTAAGTGACCTACTTCGTTGCACACAACCTCATCACCAAACTTACCTAAACAGAATCCGAAAGTCCAAGCAGAGCGCAAAAATTGAGTGCACGCCATGATGCCTCTATAAAAACCTATGAAAAAAATAACTCAACAGCGTGTGAGCTCGGCAGCTTATATAGCACTCGGAGAAAGGCAATTACATTCCTTTTTTTTCGACACATAGGTGTTGTAGCAACTAATATTAGACGAAATCTTTTTTTAGGTTTCTTGAGATTAGTTCTCCGTTTTGGTAACAATGATTCGTCAACACGGAAATTAAGGACCGAGTTTTAGCTATAGTTTTTCGAAATACTGCAAGGTTAACATCAGCTGAACCTCTAGATTAAGACATAAGCTTTGGAAAAAGCCCTTAAAAAAGCCCTAAATTTTTCCTTTAAACTTTAAGGTATCGTCGTTTGCCTGTGGTAGGGAATAAAAATTGATCCAAATTTGTAATGTGATCTTGGATGGAACTAAGCACTCTTCGAAACTACAATATTAGAGAATATCTCACCGGCTTTGCTCTAATCCTTCGCATCTTTTTGAAATTTCAAGTGTATATATTTGGCTACAAAACGAGTTGGGGTAAACATTCAAGGTTGCTAAGCATTTGTTATTAAGATCGTGTCTACCTTTGGCAACTGTTTATTACTTGTGAGAACATAGTATTAATGATGGTGAGTGATTTGGGAATTGAAGGGCTAACATTAGGAAAGGATAACGAATGTTAATTTTATAATTGAAATGTCTCCCGTAACGAGACAGTTTATACATATCGCACCAAACCAAGCTCTGAGATTCAAATCACGCATATGGCGCAACTCTGAAGTTTCGAATTCCTACATTTTATAACTATGTAAGTAATAAATCGAGACGTTATTCAGAGAAAAATGTTCCTGGTTGTCATTACTTGCTAACTGACATAGTTCAAACCAATTTTGATCATTTTATTGCCAGAAAAAATCTCACTGATTTGACAGAAAGTCCGAATTATTTGATATATGACCTCGTTGTCGAGAAAACCCTTTTTAGGAAAAAAGAGAGGTCTAAGGTTTTATCTAAAGACGACACTCAGTAATACTTCATGATATTAGTCTCACTTGAGCCAATAATACCACCCTCTCAACAATTGATAAGCAAATTCTTACATCGGTTCTTACAAATTGTTTGGGTTTTTTGTAGATTTTTTAATGAAACCTCTAAAAACTTTGAGATTTCTTTCATTTTGATTTGATGGCAGGTCTCTTGTTTTCAAAAAGCAAAGGTTGTTTATTTTTCTTATCATTTAGACTGCAAATATAAACATCTCATTAACGATTTTTCTTAAGGAAAAACTGAGCGCTAGTTTAATTTTACTTGCAGAGCGTGATAAAACTGCGCCACAGAAAGCATCAATTCCAGGTCGGTGTTCCATAAAGTAACCGTCTGTATGCACTTGGTAATTAAAATACCTCTCATATTCAAGCGGCAATCATGACTTCCCCTAAACCAATATCTACGATAGTTTTTTTAGCAGAACTAACTCGATGTTTTTTCGTTTAGTTTCGTCTTTGTTCACTTTTTCAATCATGTGTTTGCAATGGTGGAATAACTGAGATAAACACTACTAAGCCTACCTCAAATTGAGCGATTAATGGATTTAGGCCCCGTGTCTTTGTGATTGTAAAATCTGAAATTTGATTAAATTTAATTAAATTTGCTTATTACGAGGAAACAAAAAAAATGTTTTTTGGCCTAAGAGGTAGGCCTGCTAAAATTGATGTGGTTGCTTCACACAAGAGAAATGTTTTCGGTAAATGTTAAACAGGTTGTTATTGTGGTCAGGACGTGCATTAAATGAGGTAAACAAAGATTTAAAGAAACAACAATCACCGATATCTACGAAACGAAGTAAGATTACGAAAGATCGCGAAGTTTATGGCGAAATATCGCGAGAACTTGCGGTGAATAGTGAACAAATTCTGCAGAGCTCGAGGTTCGTAAGCGTTCTTTTCCCACAGACCTGTATATAGCTTCTAGATGTATATAAAACTACATGATCCTGGATTGAAGCTAAAATCACTTTGTTTCCCCTTGAAATCACGCCAAATCATTTTTATGTTTCTCTATCTTTAAAGGAAAAGCTAAATTTGTTTGTGATATTGGAAAACTTAGTACTTCTTATATTCAAGCGGCAATTTCTTCTAAACAAATATCCGCGATTTTTGATAGCAGAACTAACTTGATGCTTTTTTTTTACCCATAAACATGCGATTGAAATGGCGGACGCATTGAGACAAGTAACGGTTCGCTACTAAGATGGAAATGGGAAGAAACTCTGTAGGTTCTGGTAGTGGGCCTTCTAGTTAATTCTAAATAAGTTCTTTTTGTATTTAGTCTACTAAATTAATCAAAAGCAAAGACTCAAAGGATAATACCGGTATTTACCCATATACAAAAAACCAAGAACGATTACGGAAGACGACGAAGCTTCGTGCGAAATATCGTGAGAATTTTCGGAGAACAATGGACAAATTCTGACAAGGTCTATGACTGCCAACAAGACCGGTTTCAACGCGCGCTTTAACTTTATTACATTCATTCATTCATTTATTACATTATGGTCGATCGTGATTGAAACTTTGTATGATCTCGAAAATGCGAAGGACGAAAAGCTAGGAGTTGATCGCAGTAAAACAATGCACGTTGATCTAAACGACTCTGATACTCTAATGCTGAATTTAACCGAGAAGCTTATACAAAATGAAATTAAACAAAGCAAAATTATACGAATAAATCTAACACAATATGAATCAACGTGAGTGGAAGAATGCGAAAAACATTAAGAAAAATGCGCGTGCTAAACGTAAAAAATGTAATTAGGAACGTAAGGCCCAGTTCAAACGTTGAATTTCACATCATTGCCGAACTTAACTCCTATTTTAGTCGACTAAAATAGTTAAATAAGGCATTTGATTCAAACGTCGAATTTAACTCTGTCGCATTTAACTCTGTTCGCTGTCAATATTCCCAGGCG